GCTATAATTTAGTACTATCATTTATCAGCTTTGCTAAGGCACATAAGTATTGCACATCTAAATTGTATGCCATTGATCTTACACGGAGATTCGTGTAAGTATTTTTTTAATTTTTATTTTTTTTTATGTTTAATTAAGTTATTTAGATGTGCAATAACTATAGCACATCTAGACCCATAATTTATAAAAAAAAGTACATATAGGTAAAACCGAAAGAAAAGGTTGTGGCATCCATGCATGCCAAGTCGTCATGCCCATCCTGCCTCCATCTTTTTCGTCCAACTTAACTTGATGCTTGTCTCCTCTTCTCTTCCAACCCACCGGCACGCACACCTGCCATTCTTCTACACCACGCCCTCACCTTACAAAACACATGGCATACTACTCCCGAAAATGCATGGCTGTAAATGGTGCCATGCTAGGATGGCGTATCATCCCCGGCCGTTGCCACGTGATTCGTGCAGTTTGTGTACAAGGGCCGTACATATCAATTTATGCACACCACATCAACGTTAATATATTTCCTGTATTGATAATGCCACCAAAGCAAATTTAAAACAAAACATTGAATAGCTCTTGTCAATCCATGTGAACTAACGATAGGAGGCAGCGTATTTAAAACGCGTGCCCCAGAAGCTCCTTCAGGCTGCCCCCATACGTTTGATGGGCTGCAAGTTTTGCTGTAAATGGTTGGCAGGACATCAAGGCTCCAAACATCTTTTAAATGCAACATGCAGACCATCCCTTATCCAGCCCGCAACTCATCTCTCATTCATCCTGCTTCTATAGTTCTTCCACTTTGTTTATGTGCATAGCTAGCTAGAACTCATCCATGGAGATGTATTGCAGTACACATCCCCCCTCCCTCTCTCTGAGCTTTGATTGTTCATGTGTCACTCAGTTCACCGGCTCCTCCAACACCAGTACATTATGTTCATGTCCCAGGTTCGTTTATCAAAGGGATTAACATGCTCGAGCAAAGCAGGAAAAAAAGATGCCTAGTCCATTGATTTGCCAAATTAACCCATGGTATCATTTGGTAAATTCGCTCTAGTATCAAGTGCTAATCTCATAGCACAGATGGACTGCCCAGATTCCATCCTCTTGTGGCACCATGTCCGCAAAAGTTCACGTCCGTACCACTATCTCGATTTTCAATATGTAAAGCGTGCTATTTTATTTCGTTAGACGAAGATTTGACAATCAATTTATTGGTGTGTGACATGGTTGGTGTCACTAGATTAGTTATCCAAAAGTATTTACTTATATACTACTTGTTGAATTATACTTCCCCAACAATATCTAGGAGGGAGCACTCAGTACTAGGACAGCATCAATCTAATTAATCCAGCGTGCAGTATCATCAATTCTGAGGGTGACATGACATCCATGGGAGGGTGATCGTGTTAAAGCCTCAATCTAATTGACCGCAGAATGGTACGTCAATCTGCCTTTTCCCATATCCGATGGCCGCACTAAGAAGTCATAGGCTCCAAATTCTGAAGAAAGCAACAACAAAAAGTCGAGATCAGCCAAGACAAGGACCCCACACGGCAAAAGTCACTCACAACCGCATCGCCCAGACCTGATACCGGAAGATCGGAGCAGCATCGCACACGCATGCTGCGTTGCATCCCCAGAACAGCACCGTCCACCTGCTTCTTATCTTCTCCTCTTCACCATATCCAGCAAGGCAAATAACATGCAAGATACACAGCACATAAGATGCCAAATTTTTAGTAACAGATTATTACTTCCTCCGTTCCATAATTCTTGTCGTGGTTTTATTTCTATAGTGTTTACCTGAGCAATTGCGTCACTAACTAGTCATCACTGTGCAGTACTCGCATCAGATGTTCGCTTCCAGTTCCAGCTTGAACAAGCAAATCAGTATTGCCACTCCACCTTCTGTACCCATGCATTGCATATCACATAGCATTCCCCCAAAAATAACTTACATTGGACTGATCATTGCTTGGAAACTTTCCTGGACAGGCAAACTGTTTCTGAGCTGAATTTAATCAAACGATCGAGCAATTCTGATTAACTTGTTGCATTGTTCGCAGGTGTTCTTGATCTGCCTGGCAGCAGGGTGCAGCATCTGCTGGTTCAACACGGTCTGCTTCGTGGTCTGCATACGCAGCTTCTCTGCAGCCAACCGCCCCCTGGCCCTCTCCCTCTCCATAAGCTTCAACGGGCTCAGCGCCGCATTCTACACCCTCTTCGCCAACGCTCTCTCCCCTTACTCACCATCCGTCTACCTCCTCCTCAATGCCACCCTCCCCCTCGCCGCCTCCATCATTGCGCTCCCAGCGATCCTCCTCTGCCACCCACATGATCACAGCAGCCTCCACACTTTGCCAAAGCATGACAGGCGTGTCTTCCTCTGCTTCTACACCATCGCATTTGTCACCGGCATATATTTAGTGACCTTCGGTTCTGTCACCACAACCAGCTCTGCTGCAAGGGCCGTCCTCATGGGCGCCATGGCCCTCCTCACACTTCCTCTCATCATCCCTGCCGCCTCGAGCTGTTCTAGCGTGGGCACACATGATCCTGACACTGAATTGACACTCAACCACAACGATCCACAGAAGCCGCTCCTTCTCAACCATGATGACCACACGGAGACCAACGGCAGCATGGCACATAAAACAGTGGAATGGCAGCCCAAGGGCTGTTGCTGTGGGACGATACTGGACAAGGGCTGTGTGTTGGTTCTTGGTGAGGAGCATAGTGCAAAGAAGCTCATCCGATGTGTCGATTTTTGGCTCTACTACACAGCGTACTTCTGTGGTGCCACTGTTGGGCTGGTGTACAGCAACAACTTGGGGCAGATTGCGCAATCGTTGCAATGTCAACCACAGCTCACCATGCTTCTTGCAGTTTACTCCTCTTGCTCCTTCTTCGGCCGCCTTCTCTCTGCACTCCCTGACTTCCTTCACAGGTATGTCTGTCTTAATCTAGCTACATACAGATAACTAACCTCTCATCAACTAGCATCCTAGCTAACTATACCATATATGCAATTTGCATGCAGGAGGGTGTCATTTGCTCGGACAGGGTGGCTTGCGGTGGCATTGGTGCCCATGCCAGTGGCTTTCTTCTTGATGTGGAAATTGCACGATGTAAACACTCTGATAGCAGGAACGGCGTTAATTGGCCTAAGCTCAGGTTTCATCTTCGCTGCGGCAGTGTCAGTGACATCCGAGCTCTTCGGACCAAATAGCATCGGTGTGAACCACAACATCCTCATCACCAACATCCCTCTTGGCTCACTCCTCTACGGACAGATTGCTGCCCTGGTATATGATGCAAATGGCCGAAAGAGTACGGTACTGGACAACCTCACTGGCACGGTTGACACCACGATAGTGTGCATGGGTGCGAAGTGCTACTCAAACACATTCTTTGTGTGGGGTTGCATCACAGTGCTGGGCTTGGCATCAAGCGTAGCCCTATTCTTGAGAACAAGACAGGCCTATGCTACTGCTGCTGGTCAATCTAGTTGTAAGCACCATAGCCAAGTTTTGAGTTGAGAAAGGAACTCTTGTTTGTTCCTCACTGTTCTGAAGTCATGGCTAAGCTTGTACAAGTTTTGGTTCGGTTCTGGGTGGACTGGGTTAGATACAATACATGTAATTACTACCATCACGAGATTCAACAAGGGGGGCAGCAAATTATGAGATTAGCAGCCCTTTGTAAAAGGTAGAACCATTGTTCTGTTTACAGGGCACTAATGTCAACTTGAAGGCGCAAGGCGGTTGCCTTAGCTTACTACTGATGTTTCTTTCTGACCTCACATGAACTCATCAATTTGTCCATGTTTGCTACTGTAAGTATGGTGGAGTTGAAATTGGGTCTGTCTAAAATGCTAGGCTTGGGAAATACTCCCTCCATTCACAAATATAGGATGTTTTGGATATTTAAATATGGACTATATACGGACTGAAATGAGTGATCAAACACACTAAAACGTGTCTATATACATCCGATTCAGAAAAAAGTTAGAACATCTTATATTTACGAACGGAGGGAGTAAGAAAGTAGTTTCTTTCAGTTATTTACCTACATGACACAGCAAACAAGACAAAAAAAATCTAAACAATATTCCATGAGAAATAAACGTTTATAATTTGAATTAATGGGCAAGCTGGGGTACCCCAGATATCTTTGATCACAAAATTTAGCATCAACTCACAGAAAAGACAGTCCTTGAATGGAAGATATAGATTGGTTTGACCTCTACAAGTCTAAAATTCTTTGTTACATTGCTAAACATAGCAGATACTGAGTGTGAATGGCATTCAAAATGGACGCATATGCGTGGAAACAGTAAAAGAATCCTTGTTAGCAAGAAGACTTGTGGATATGATATGAGCATAACTCTTTTAGAACATTGCTGGAAGCTATCGTCCAGCAACCCCAGAGAGACAGGTTCGAACAACTACAAAAACGCCACATCCCTATTACCTTGTTCAAGGGGTTACGATACAATGGAAGGGTGGGAATGCAATTACTTGAAAGGAGGACCGATGAGCCTATCATTGCCTATTTTTTCTCCTGCTCATCACGCTTCTGCCATGGATTCAAGGCTTCTCTCATAGCTTGTGCTTCTGGACTGCTTTCCCAAGCTCGTTTTTCTGACTCCAGTACCGTTACCTTCTCATCTGTAGTAAACAGAAAGCATCATTAACGTTGTTATGCACCAAACGAACCAAAGAACTTGACAAAATGAATGAGATAGTACAATGAAAATTTCCATGGGCACCTAAAAGTACAAGTTTGTGTTGTTAGTTGTTACAGATGGAAATATTTCTTCACCATTCCAGTTCAATTACTTCAGGAGGGGATGCTGAGATCCTCGGCTAATGATGTCTAGAGGCCCCATTGATTTCACAGCAACAACTGACAACTTAACGCTAGAGCTAAGTGTAAAATTTTGAGGAGACTTGACACGCGCAGAGATGAAATTTGTCTACAGTGCATCTACCCTAACGATTTCATTTGAACCAGCTAATTACAAGGGGTTGGATGTTGAATGGAGGAGGGAGGGACTCACAGAAGCCGGTGTGGATCATGAAAAGCTCCATGGCGGCGCCTATGGCCGCGCCGCCGACGGCGATCTTCAGGTACCACCCCGCGAACCTCATACGGCACTGCTGGCCGCAAGCTTCTGCGTCCACAAAGTCCGATCAGCCGTACATCAATCAAATGAGAGGGGAGAGATAGCCGGTACCTGTCAGGAGTCAGAGGACTGGTCGCCGGAGCGAGGAGGCGGCGGCGGAGGAGGAGGAGGAGGATCGAGGCACGAGCTGACCGGCCGAGGGGAGGGCGAAGAAGAGGTAGCGGGTTGTTACGGCCCAGTCCCCGAAGGCCCAACAAAACCGGCAAATTTCTCTGCCACTGAAGACTGAACCCACGTGCCGTACTCCCACCCACACACTCGGCTCGCGCGCGCGCGCGCTCAGACTCATGGCGGCGACCTCGCCGGCGCCGACGAGGGCCGCCGCGGCGCTCACCCTGGCCCCGCATCGAAGGGTCCACCATGTCCACATGCCTTCCGGCCGCCCCTGCCCCTGCCGCACTTCTGCCGCTCCTCGGCGGCGCGCTCCGCGATGCCGCGCGAAGCCGACAGTCAAGGGCGTGGTCGACGACGACGAGGACGCTTCCCGGGAATCGGAGCCTGAAAGGAATGAGGAGGAAGCTATGACTGCGACGGGCACGCTGCCGGGATGGCTCACGCTTGACACGGTTGGGATGGATATCCTGAGCATCGCCGCGCCCGCTGTGCTCGCGCTCGCCGCCGACCCCATCGCTGCGCTCGTCGACACCGCCTTCGTCGGCCATATAGGTAATATGGGTTCTTTCTTGCCATCCTGCACACATGGCTGATGCCTCTGGACTATGGTACAAGGCCGATCCGTCATCCATGTTAAGATGGTGTTTGAGTTTGAGCAACTTAACCAACAATATTCACAGCCAAATTATTCTACACTAGTACTTATTATTTTGCAGCATTGCAACCCAGAAACTAAAAGATTTTGTGCTAGAAATTTCGAGCCTTTGACATTCATGTGTAGTCAATCTGCAGAAGTTTCTCGAATGTAATCTTTATACTTAACTATCTCATGAATAAGTAAATATATTGGTTTTTTAAATTTACGTTTTGAACCGGAAAGATTGTTGATCCCTTGATCATTTTTTTACTCTATCATCAGGTTCAACCGAACTTGCTGCTGTGGGTGTATCGATTTCGATCTTCAATTTGGTGTCCAAGTTATTTAACGTTCCACTGCTTAACGTGACCACATCTTTTGTTGCTGAGCAGCAAGCAGTAGATGATAGTTATAGAGGAACAGGAGAAAGTAAGCTAATAAAGAGCTCAAAGATTTTTGGAAATTATTCCCATATTTTGTGTTACACTAATTGTCTCACTTAAAAGATGAATTTCGAAGATCCCCAGATAATAAGTTGAGTGAAGAAAGGAAGTTTCTTCCGGCAGTCACGACATCTTTGGCTCTAGCTTCTGGTATTGGGTTGATGGAAACTCTGGCACTTATTTTTGGATCTGGAACATTGATGGATGTCATCGGTATACCAGTGGTATGTAGGACTACTTTATCGACAGTCACCAGGCTTAAACATTTATTATATCTACGTTTTGGCGCTCAATTTGTTATGTGCTTTGCTGCTAATGTTCAGATAAATGCCTTTTTTGTGTTCCTGACAAAATGAACCAAGTTAGGATGAGATTGAAGCAAATAAGCAATTATACTACCTGGAAAAGTGAGTTAGAATATGATCATATTTAGTGGTCAATCATGCTTTCTCATCTCTTGAATTAACTGTAGTCTATAAGGCTGGTCATAGTGGGGAGTAACTTATACTAGTGTCATACATAATGACACTAGTCTAAATTACTACCTTCATAATGCAAAGTAACATAGTAGTAGTGTCATAGAAGACTTCATTAATTAGCTTGTAGACTCATCTTGTCTTGAAAAGCGCTATGTTACAGTAACATATTATGTTACCACTTCTCATTAACTACATGCCACATAAGCAAAAATTTCTCGAAATGCGTTATGTTACTTGCTAAGTTACTCCCACTATGACTAGCCTAACTAAATCGCCCCTGGAACACAAGCTTTGATTCGGCTGTAGTCATTTCAAGCCAAGTATTTTTGTCATGTATTGTTCTTATGTCAGATTACTCTTGAGTATAAGTTGTTCTTTGTTACATAAACAGGATTCCCCAGTGCGTATACCAGCCGAGCAATTTCTTACTTTTAGGGCATATGGTGCTCCACCTATCATAGTAGCACTTGCAGCACAGGGTGCATTTCGTGGGTTGATGGATACAAAGACACCTTTGTACGCTATTGGTAAGATATTGCAATTTCTTGTTGCTAAATTGCATAAATTTAATCATGTGTTTTTTATCATTTTAAGTATCTGTAACAAGCAAGTCTCAGGAACACATATGCCCTATATGCACTTCAGATATTATTTTTACCCCGAAACAGTATGAGAGGATCCTGCTGCAATATGTACATGAGATATTATCTTCTTGATTTGGATGTTTTGCATGCAGGTGTTGGTAACCTAGTAAATGCAATACTTGATGCGATATTTGTCTTTCCGCTTGGTTTAGGAGTAAGAGGTGCTGCGCTGGCGACTGTAACATCTGAGTATGTTAAAGCTATCATGAAAATCTAATGTACTTTCCTCATTGGTGTCCCCTAGCTCGTACTTTTAGTCATCTGCATCCATGGGGGCTCTAATTATCTGGAAAATATTTGCCTGCTGTCAGGTACGTGATAGCTTACATCCTCCTTTGGAAGTTGAATAGTAAAGTAGTAATCTTCTCAGGAAAGATCATTGGTGGTGGAATGATACGCTACCTGAAATCAGGTTGGAAGATATTCATGTTCTTTATTTCCAAGGACTTAAGAACATTGGTTTTGCCTACCTTATCCATGGATGTGATGTGACCTCGGTAGTAGTTGTTCTCTTAAACACGTCAAATTGTGAACTGTTCTGCAGGTGGACTGCTGATCGGTAGGACCATAGCAGTGCTCCTCACCATGACACTGTCGACATCTCTTGCTGCAAGGGAAGGGCCTGTTCCAATGGCTGGCCATCAGTTATGCTTGCAAGTATGGTTGACAATCTCTTTACTCAATGATGCATTAGCTCTTGCTGGACAGGTATGTACATTTATACAGCGGGGCATTTCATTTCTACCCTGTTAGCTTGGTATGTGTTCTTAAAGTATCCATAAAACAATGCAGGCTCTGCTTGCAACTGAATATACGAAAAGAAATTACAAGCAGGCGCGCATGGTTCTCTACAGAGTTCTGCAGGTTAGATACACATGTCATGGAAAAAGAAGTTCATAAATGCTGCTGAGGTTCTCTTTTTCCCTTACCTCCAGGTGTAAAATGTTTGCTCACATATTCTGTTACGCAGATTGGAGGGGCGACTGGTACGGCACTCGCTATAATCTTGTTTTTTGGGTTTGGGTCTTTCTCCTCGCTGTTCACAGACGATCCAGCAGTTCTGGGTATTGCCAAATCTGGTGTCTGGGTAATGAGATATTTAGGACTGTTGAAATAAACACCTAATGTGACAAGTGAAGTTTTGATGCCATGATACTCACTGCTCCAATATTAAATCTTGCAGTTCGTCGCCATCTCCCAGCCAATAAACGCTGTTGCTTTTGTGGTCGATGGGCTCTACTATGGTGTATCTGACTTTGCATATGCTGCCTACTCCATGGTCTGAACTGGAGCTCTGTTTGCACTCTATTCCCCGTCTTGCTGTCAATACTAAATGAGCTGCAAAATAACTAACAATATTTAAGTATCTGGTTTGCTCAGTTCTTTGCAGGAGCCATATCATCGGCTTTCCTACTTGTTGCTGCTCCTGAATTTGGTCTTGGTGGCGTCTGGGCCGGTCTCATTCTTTTTATGAGTTTGCGAGCAGTTGCTGGGTTGTGGAGGTAGTGTAGACTATATAGGTTTCCATTGCCCTTCTCATGGAAGTTGGAATGGAGAAACCCTTGATGACTTCAGGTAATTTTCTGATGTGCAGATTAGGGAGCAAAGGTGGACCCTGGAACTCGATCTTGTCAGAGACTGACTTACGCGACAAAATGTGATACCCTAGATAATTTTATGAGAAGATGAAAAGATAGAAAAATAAGACATATATTGGTTTTCTTGTATAGTTACTTGGCAAATACATGTACAGATCCAGTGGAAGTTGCAAACTTCATTTACTGCCAAGGCTTGTCACTAAAGTTGTAGCCGTAGAAGCACCTCTTACTTTGTTGTGGCATTTGTTGCAAATGCTACAGGTAGTTGGTTTGGCTGTTCTGTACACCTTCAGATCTACCCTAGATAATTATGAATCCTGTGAAATGTAGTTCTTACGTAGCTGATGTGTAACCGTAGAAGCATTCTCCACTTTGTTGTAGCCATTATTGCAAGTGCTACAAAAAGTTGGTTTTAGCTGTTTTGTACACCATGTGCAAGAAAAATATAGTTTGCTAGCCCAACATGTGCATGGAGTATTGCAACTTCTACTGTAAATGAGCTATGATGTGCGGCTTTTATGTTCATTTTGGCTTTCTTTTTTATGTAAATAGGTTGTTTCTTACTTCCAGTATTAGCTCAAAGCTTTAGCCTTTCAGGGGGGAAATGTTTCCTTTTTT